GATCAGTTTCGCGTGAATGGATACTCTGAAATTGAACGAGAAAAATTAAATTTGATTAATTCAACTTATAGGACTTTGAAACAATTAGAAAATTACAAAAATGAAACCATTCTTTTTGAGCAACAAAGAACAATTAATCAAGTCCGCGAACGGGTTTTCCAACAAGCTTTACAAGGAGCTTTACAACAAGCTTCGTCTTATCTGAAATATTGAGTGAAATGATTCGACTCTCTCTGTGTTATTGTACAGTATCGCGTACCAAGTTCCGTAGTGGTTATCGTCGAGTCGAAGGGTATTACCAGTTTTATCTAGAAGACATTAAGGTTGGTATTATACTTAATAACATGAGATTTGATGTTCTAAATTTATGGTTAATCAAATCGTTTGCTTTTTCCATAACACAGGACTTAAGGGTGATTCGTGTGCCAGTGCCAAAATCTACCACCAACACTAACAAGGTAAAAACTTAAACCTTTTTAATGCGAAAAGATATCTACAAATGGAAGTTTCTCCAAATGCTTTTCTGATTTTGTTCTCAGGATGATCAGAAGACTAATCCCGCTGGTGCATCATCCTCTGCTTCGACTTCAAAGTGATGACTCTGTTTCTTTGCATATACATCGACAATATGTCATATACACTTCTCTCTCTCCCTCTTTGGCTTTTACTCGATTCTGTTTTATACAGAGCAATATGTCCATAACTAGAGATCCTTACTAGTTTCTCAAATTTCTGGTGTTTTAGTTTAGTATAGGTTGAGTTCTTGCCATTTATGGAAGAGTTACATTGAGTAACAAACAATGTCTTCAGATTTCGGATCGATACCAGTTTCATTGATGGAAGAAATTTTTTTAGATCTGTTTCTCTTTGGTCCATCAGAAATATCAAATATAGTCTTTCTCACACTCTCACACACACACGTTTTGCCAGAGAAAAAAAAAATATGTAAGAAGACATTTTATAGATCATTTCATTTGTAGCCATATTAGTTCTTAAAAAATTAGTTAGAATGTCTAAAAGCATCTCAAATGATGTAAAATTCAAGATGGTGGAGCTAAGCATGTTACAATGCTAAGACAGATTGCATCTAAAGGAAGAAGAGTTACAAGCTAACAAGGGACTTTTTGCCAAAAGACTGCCAAACAAAATTAGTCGATCGTGGTATATATATAAAATTAGAAAAGATAAAATAATAGAGTCACAGACTGGATTAATTCATGTGGATGTGTTACAGAATTGCATTTCTCCTTTTCATTGTAGATAACGTCTTCTAAAATATTAAAACAAATAGTGGATCTTTGGATCCGTTTATCTAAGTTTTTGTATTGTTTTGGATCTGATATTTTATAATATATGACATTTTCTTTAGTTCTAAACACATCTGATTAAAGAAAAATATCATATATTATAAAATATCAAATCCAAAACAATACAGAAACTTAGATAACAGAAATCAGAAACTTAGATAAACAGATACAAAGATCTACTATTTATCTTCATAAGAAAACCCTAGTTTTTAAAACAAGATTGTTTATTTATTACCAAAGAAAAAACATAGAATTATATAAATTTTTCAAAGCTTTAATTCAAGATTCATGAAATCTTCTTCTATGTTTTCGAAAATTTCATGGATCTTGGAAAATTTTACA